ATTGTGTTATTGTTAAGCCCCACGAAAGCACAAAAACATTATAAAGCACCATAAAGACAAATTTCAAGTGTTCTGAAGCCGTTCCATAGTTTAATGTGAGGTACAGATGGATATTTAAGTCATTAAATTCAAGTTCTCGTAAACTCTTCTCTCCGCTGCGGCTGTCAGTCATCCTCCATTTAGCATTTAAGCTGCGCGTCGCATTCGGTTACGACAGTCAAGACGACGAAACTCTCTCTAGGATGATACAATGTTCCTATTATTATACTTGATCTGTAGATAAACATCAGTGGCTTTGCATTAAAAGGCTTTATCTTGCTGGAGTTTAGTGCTGTTTCTAAAGCATGTTACTTTCTACCGGGTGTCTGTTAGATCACAACACTGGAGCAGAGAGCACTATGAATTGCTCTTCATTCGCACATTAACTGAAATTTAAAACGGTTCAACGAAAAGGCTCAATAAACTGTCGCACAGATATAATACACTATGCATCAATATCTCTTCCCTTTGTGCTTTGAACTTTTCTATGCGGAGCGCTGTGACTCCGTGTTGCTTCAAGCGCATCATTCTGCGCATAAGCGCTTTGTGCCGCTCTGTATAGGAGCCTTTCATGTTATAATACTTTTGCGCAATTAAAGATTATTAATAGCCTTTCTTGTTCTTATCTATCATAATGTTGCTGCCTCATTACGGTGCTATACATTTAAAATAAATGTCTTTTAATTTTATAGTATATGAATTTATATATAAATATATTACTTGGGTTTTCATGAATGTATTTTATAACAATACAAAGAGCAATGTTTTACCAGATTTAGTTAAGCCCCATGAAAGGCACAAAAACATTATAAAGCACCATAAAGTTGCACTATATTTCAAGTGTTCTGAGACATAGTTTAATGTGAGGTACAGATGGATATTTAAGTCATTAAATTCAAGTTCTCGTAAACTCTTCTCTCCGCTGCGGCTGTCAGTCATCCTCCATTTAGCATTTAAACTGCGCGTCGCATTCGGTTACGACAGTCAAGACGACGAAACTCTCTCTAGGATGATACAATGTTCCTATTATTATACTTGATCTGTAGATAAACATCAGTGGCTTTGCATTAAAAGGCTTTATCTTGCTGGAGTTTAGTGCTGTTTCTAAAGCATGTTACTTTCTACCGGGTGTCTGTTAGATCACAACACTGGAGCAGAGAGCACTATGAATTGCTCTTCATTCGCACATTAACTGAAATTTAAAACGGTTCAACGAAAAGGCTCAATAAACTGTCGCACAGATATAATACACTATGCATCAATATCTCTTCCCTTTGTGCTTTGAACTTTTCTATGCGGAGCGCTGTGACTCCGTGTTGCTTCAAGCGCATCATTCTGCGCATAAGCGCTTTGTGCCGCTCTGTATAGGAGCCTTTCATGTTATAATACTTTTGCGCAATTAAAGATTATTAATAGCCTTTCTTGTTCTTATCTATCATAATGTTGCTGCCTCATTACGGTGCTATACATTTAAAATAAATGTCTTTTAATTTTATAGTATATGAATTTATATATTAAATATATTACTTGGTTTTCATGAATGTATTTTATAACAATACAAAGAGCAATGTTTTACCAGATTTAGCCCTACACTTATTCACTTTTATTTGTTCCCCACCAAATAATGTTTTTTTTTTCACTAAAAATTTACATTTTATAAAAGTATTGTGCACTCATGATTTTTCTAGAGTAATTTTTGCAACTGAATTATCCACTAACCTAGTTTATAGTAGTATTTTTGTCATAGATTATGATTATATATTTAGTCATTTGTTGTTTTACTTTATAATGATGTTGTCTATATGTGTTAGATTGTGTTTAACACACAAAAGAGTGATGATCAGGTCAACACATTGAGGTATAGAAATTCTACACTGATTAAAAAAAAAAAAAAAAACTGTGTTGGTATCGTATCGGTTCTGAAAAAGTGGTATGGAGCCAGCCCTAGTGTGGATGAGTCAGTGCTGGACTCACCCTGAACCCCAGTGATAGAAAACCCGATCCTGATAGTACAGACACAGGAAGAGCCAAACACTGATGGTCTCCAGCCAGAAGATGACGAACAGGAACCAGACCGAGGAGAGCAGCAGCTCACACACCATCCTGACACCTACAGACAACAACAACATCTTCATCATCATCATCATCACTGAACATCACACCATCCTCAGACCTACTGACAACAACAACAGACTGTCAGTCTGTAAAGCACCTGGAATCAGTGAACAAGCCTGTTGATGTGATCGACTAATTAAATAAATACATGTATCGCTGAAATGCAGCAGGAACAGTTTCTAGTGAATCTAAACGCACTTCCGGGCATACGCACTCACAGCCGCATTTCAGGATAAAAGTCCTCATGAACGCACATGGGGTCAAAGCAGTTTAAGAAGAATGATTTCAAATGTAAAATAAATATATAAATAACATCGGCATTTGATTTAAATATCAAAACAACGATGTTAATAAAGTCATCTGAATCATGAAACAAATAATCACAATAATAACAACCCATATCAGCGGTAAAACCTCAGTACAGATTTAAAAAGAAGAACAATTTAAAATAGAGATGTTTATTATTTAATACCAGCCAAACATCATCAATTAAACAGATTCTTTGATATAAAAGTTCTAAAAAAAAAAATCCTCCGCTGTAATTCCGGAAGTTTCTGTCGGATGTCGGAACAGGAAGTGAAGTCACCGCTACTGCTGTGTGAGTTAGCTCGAGTCGAAGCGACTCTATTGATTAAAGTTCAGTTATTAAAGTGACTTCATCATTTATTAAAGCCCCGGTTAGGGTTCAGAAGCAGCGGTGCGGGTTCACGACGCCTTTACTGCAGACACAGGTTCGTGTTTCTTCTTTTGATCAGCCTCTCTAGTCAAACCCTACACAGATCTCTGAACACTACAGCAGTACTACGGTATTCTTAACAGCATGTAACGCTGAACACTACAGCAGTACTACGCTATTCTTAACAGCATGTAACGCTGAATACTACAGCAGTACTACGGTATTCTTAACAGCATGTAACGCTGAATACTACAGCAGTACTACGGTATTCTTAACAGCATGTAACGCTGAATACTACAGCAGTACTACGGTATTCTTAGCAACATGTAACGCTGAATACTATAGTAGTACTACGGTATTCTTAGCAGCATGTAACGCTGAATACTATAGTAGTACTACGGTATTCTTAACAGCATGTAACGCTGAATACTATAGTAGTACTACGGTATTCTTAACAGCATGTAACGCTGAATACTACAGCAGTACTACGGTATTCTTTACAACATGTAACGCTGAATACTATAGTAGTACTACGGTATTCTTAACAGCATGTAACGCTGAATACTACAGCAGTACTACGGTATTCTTAACAGCATGTAACGCTGAATACTACAGCAGTACTACGGTATTCTTAACAGCATGTAACGCTGAATACTACAGCAGTACTACGGTATTCTTAACAGCATGTAACGCTGAATACTACAGCAGTACTACGGTACTCTCCACAGCATGTAATGCTGTATTACAGTTACTGTGACACACAGCGCTTTATTGACTGTAAGTCTCACAGAGGCTCAGTTATAACTCATCTGTGTGTCACTGATATTCCTGTTTTTCTGAGCTTTCATGTAGCTTTCTGTAAATATATTTTAAAAATGGTCATTTGATGTTAAGAAATTGGCTGATTTTTGTTTGACTAATATTTACATTTTATTTTTAATTACACTGCTGTTCAAAAGTTTGCGATCAGTAAGATTTTTAATGTATTTTAAAGAAACCCCAAAGTTTTGAACGGTAATGTATAATGTTACAAAATATTTCTATTTTAAATAAATGCTTTTCTTTTTAAGTTTTTATTCATCAAAGAATCCTGGAAAAAAAGTATCACAGTTTCCACAAAAATATTGTGCAGCACAACTGTGTTCAACATTGATAATAATCAGAAATGTTTCTCGAGCAGCAAATCAGCATATTAGAATGATTTCTGAAGATCATGTGACACTGAAGACTGGAGTAATGATGCTGAAAATACAGCTTTGAGCACAGAAATACATTACAGTTTAACAGAGATTCACATAGAAAACAGCTGATTTAAATAATAATAATATTTCACTTTTTTTCCTGTGTTTCTGATCAAATAAATGCAGCCTTGATTAGCAGAAGAGACTTCTTTAAAAATATTACAAATCTTACTGATCCCAAACTTTTGATCGGCAGTGTAATCAAAAAATATTTTAATAGTTTTAATTAACAGTAACAAAACTGTTGATCACAGCAGGTAATTAGTAGCTATTGAAGTTTTTGAATTTGTTTTCCCACGGTTCACAATAATCCAGAGCAGTGTAACAGGAATCATATTAATATGACCTCACAAAAGCTACATTCATTATACAAGAATTAGAAAAATGTTATTTAAAATATTTTCTAATGCATGTCACACTGCATTGAGATTTCACGGCCAATAAACTAAACTAAAACAATACAGCAGCAGAATAAATACGATCATAAACAAGAGTACGTCAGCATGCAGTTCGCTCGTTTAGGCTCAGAGGAGAAATGATTTATTGTACTCTGCTTTTGCTGTTTTCTCCACAGATTGAAAGTATGATCTGGACGTGATCATTCCTGGATGGACTCAATATCTGCCGAATGCTGATGTGACTTTAGTCTCCTTCTGCTGAACGAACACGATCCGCACGCTGCAGAACGACGTCATGTCTCTGCCTGAGGAAGCAGGGGATCGTGGGAAAGAGAGGGAGCGCGGCGCCCGTCCCAAAGTGCGTCAGAGCCGCTCCGAGGAGAGACGAGACGGAGGGAGGCGGAAGAAGAAAAGCCACCCGTCACATGACCTGACCTCGGAGCGGCCCGTGAGCGACGGCTTCGAGTACGGAGATCTGCTGAACAACCTGCAGGAGTCCTCTCCGCTGAGGAGATCGTCCGGCTCTCTGCTGTCCGAAAGGGTCTCCACCAAACTGTCCCTCGGCTCGCCGGCTGCCGACCTTGGCTGCGACACGGAGAGCAAGGCGTCTGGAAGCAGCAGGACGCTTCGGCAAAAGATCCAGGACGCAGTAGGCCAGTGCTTCCCCATTAAGACCCACAGCCAAGGCCTGTCCCCTTTGCCGTCCTCCAGGCGTAAGATCCACCTCAGCGAGCTCATGCTGGACAGCTGTCCATTCCCCGCCGGCTCGGACCTGGCGCAGAAGTGGTACCTCATCAAGCAGCACACGGCTCCCATTTCTCAAGCTCCGGTCCTCGACTCCGGATCCACGCTTGCTGTGGAGGACGAGGACGACCGCTTACGAGAGAGACGACGGATAAGCATCGAGCAGGGAGTCGAACCTCCGCCCAACGCTCAGATCCACACCTTCGAAGTGACGGCGCAAATCAACCCGCTTTACAAACTCGGACCCAAACTGGCTCCCGGGATGAATGAGTTAGCCGGAGACGAGCGCGCAACGCTGCTCCTCCAAAGCTGCTTGGACACGCTAGACGAGGTCGCTGCGTCAGCCACGCCGTCTGATTTCGACTCGTGCGCTGCGTCTCCGTCCTCGCGCTCCCTCACCGGCCCGACTCTAGTTCCGCCGGACAGTCCCAAATCACAAGACGGACTCCATCGCATTCACACGCAAATCGATTACATCCACTGCCTAGTCCCCGATCTGCTTCGGATCACAAACCTGCCTTGCTACTGCGGCGTCATGGACCGATACCAAGCCGAAACGCTGCTGGAAGGCAAACCCGAAGGCACGTTTCTATTGCGCGACTCTGCGCAGGAAGACTACCTCTTCTCCGTCAGCTTCCGGCGGTACGGCCGCTCGCTGCATGCGCGCATCGAGCAGTGGAATCATAACTTCAGCTTCGACGTGCACGACCCCAGCGTGTTCCACGCTCCCACCGTCACCGGCCTGCTGGAGCACTACAAGGACCCCAACTCCTGCATGTTCTTCGAGCCGCTGCTGTCTAACCCCATCCACCGCTCGCAGCCCTTCAGCCTGCAGCGCATCTGCCGCGCCGTCATCAGCAGCAGAACCACGTACGACGGCATCAACGCTCTGCCGCTGCCCAACGCTCTGAAGGAGCACCTGAAGGAGTACCACTACAAGCAGCGCGTGCGCATTCGCAGACTGGATACCTGGTGGGAGTGACGCCGCTGGCTCAGGTACGGAGACCGTAAGTGCCACCTTCAGCGGACTGATGTGAGGACGCGAGTGCCTTTCCGACGCTACTCATTTTGAGGTTTAAATGCTGTTTGCTCATCGTCATGATGTTGGCAGTTCGTCACAGGGTTCCCGGCGTCACTGGAGCAATTAACACTGAATCGGCAAGCTTTCGTTGTGTTAGAATATTTATCATCTTTATCAAGACAAGTGCTGCATTTGTGTTGGGAGTTACGGCCTGTTCAGACCAAGAACGATAACTGTAACGATGACAGTAACGTTGGCTCTAACATTGATTATAACAATGACCATTACATTAACTATAATGTTGACTATAACAATATAACGATGACGTAACCCTAACGCTGACCGTTGAATGTCCATTTTAAATGATATTAGATGTTTTTATTCAGAAAATATATTAATGGACATTTTTTGAAAAGGTTTCTCCTGGAATCATTTTAGAATTTTTATTGTCCACTAAATTGAAAAATTCTAGATAATTGTTATTGTTACTGTTGCCATTATTGTTAAGTATATATGTATATTTTTGTATGTTTTTAATATAAAATTTTTAAATTATTGTAAACTATGAACTTAAATGATACTGTCATTATCATAATACTGTTGATTTTGCCATGAATGTGGCCATTGCTGCTGATATGGCGTTAAATCTTCAGTAAATCAATAACGTTGACAGTGATGTTGACTATAACAATATAATGATGACCAGTGTTGTCAGGTCTGCGGTTTTCTACTGTAACACTGTTGCCGCGGGTTGAAATGACCCCAATAATGTGATATTTAGCCCCTGGAATGCAAATTTTAACAGGGGACCCCCCTCGAAACGCCATTGGGCTAATTTTGAGTAGCGATTAGTCGGGTTTTGTTGTGAAAACATGGCAACCCTGACTGTAATGTTGACTGTTACGATAATTATTGACTATAACAATGACTGTTACGTTGAATATAATGACGACTATTATGTTAAATATAACAACAACTACAACAGCGATAACTTAAACGATAACTATATTAGCGTGCACATGAATAACGTTCTATTTATTCTAAGCGCATGCTGTCGCTTTAAATTCTCAAGCTCTCTAAAGATACTGGATTCTGATTGGCTGTCAATGTTTTTATCGTTCATCAGAAGGTGATTCCAGCGAAATCGTTCCTCTGTTGTGATCGTTATAGTCGCAGTGTTAGCATGGCTATTCTTTTAGCGTTAGAGCGATTATTAGAAGGTAACGGTTACAGTTATTGGCTGGGTTTCTTGTATAGCGCAGTGTGTGGAACGGTTCCTCGCGTTAGATGATGTCAGAGATCTCGATCTTTCGTTCATAGCATCAGTCACTCATTCCAGACACGTTCACACGGTCCACAGGAGCTAATGCTGCACCCAAGCGGCAACCTCCCGCTCTCTCTCGTGAAGCAAACACGGAAGTGACTAAAACTGCAGCTCATCGACTGGCTGCTAGAGGCTGCCGCAGAGAGTCTCATAGACTCCCCATGTTAAAATGCCCAACTTTACAGCTGAAAAAAAAACATGTTTACAGTCTGGTACAAAAAGTGATTTTGGTCTATATAGCTAATTTTGCCCTTCATAACAACTGTGAGGGGGGTGAAATTTTTTTCATCTGTTTAAATTATATTAAGTCTTAAAGTTCTGCATAATTAAGGGCGTGGCCACTTGAGTGACAGGTGGATTGCCGCTGCTGTCACCACCGTCGAGCTAGGTGGGCGTGGCTTCAGCAACCAGCTCCCGTCTCTTTGCCCATTTTCGATTATCTGGGAGTGACGCGCTGCCAAGATGGCGACGGCCGGCTCTGCCCACTTTAGGCTTCAAAAACCATAGACATAATAAATACCTAGAGGCCTCATTGCACAGGATCTTTAAAGGAGTCTAATGCAGATAACAGAGCATCTCAGCATCATCTCTGTCGACCCCGCGCTCTCAAGAGCCCAGTATCCTCGTGATTAACGCTCAGAATGCATGTTTGCTCATTTAACCACAGCTCACACGTCAAAGACAGAAATGCATCGGCCCTGAGATGCTTCATTCAAGAACGGATCTTTGCACCAAATCTGGAGCCTGTAGACGAGTAGAGCAGAGCGAATCCACCGTTCTGCTCCTTCACTGACGACGTCAGATATGAACTGGAGAAACGCATTCATTCATTCATTCATTTCACTCCATTGCTTTTGTTTTTAATGTTCAGTTACTGTATTGCATTGTAATTCCACTCAAGGCGTGTTTTATTTTATCTAGAAACCAGATATTTGAACGTTCTCAACTACTGAAACCCCTGAGACGAGTGAATCTACAACGACTCGTCTATTAGAAATGCTTGTAAAACTCTATGGAAATGTCAAAGATGTTCCAGAAACTACAGCACTGAATCTTAACTCAAAGGGGCCAAACTGCATGAGTTTGAAGGCTAAACGAAATCTGACGGATGTCACTGGTTAAGCAGTCGTTGGTTAACCTGCTGTTTCTGTAGGGATGTTTTATATGAGTGCGTTTTGATTTGTGTCGATTTCCAGAGGACCATCATGAATGTCACAAACTTCTGTTCTTAAAGCAGCTTGCCTTGTTTTGTTTTTATTTTGACACTGATATTTATTTATTTTCTATTAAAGGCTTGCCTAATATGCTTAACATTTTTTCACATGTATTTCTGATTACTAAAGCCAAGTGTGAATAATTTTATTGGTGTGTACAGTGTAAAAAAAAGCACATATTAATAAACTATGTTCTATCTTTTCTGACTCTCTGGTGTTGTTTTTGCCATTTCTGTTTACCTGAAATAACAACAGACATTTTAAATCAGGAGGTAGCTAATAATAAAATGTATTTATTTATTATAGTTGAAATATTGTAATAAAAGCATCAGAAAGGTCATGCTACTTTCTTAGACGCTTTCAGATACCTTCCTTATTTTATAATTGATTAAAATAAAAATAGTACACGTTTTAGTTGTTGCGCGTGTCGTTGAGGGACAGAGCTAGGTTACTATTACACTCCAGAACTGTGACACACGCTCTGTGTGTGAGTGTGTGTGTGTGAGAGTGTGTGTGTGAGTGAGAGTGTGTGTGTGTGTGAGAGTGTGTGTGTGAGTGAGTGAGTGAGTGTGTGT